GAGGTTAGGCATCCCTTTCAATTTCAATTTCAAGAGGGAAAGGAAAACATATACTACACTTAGTGTTTACTTTCCGCTTCACACTAGCAGGATGTGACACAAATGATGACCTGTGGTCCCAAAATAGCCCAACCGCCACAACCTTCGACATTACTACCGGATCCTCGCTTAAGTGCGATAAGAGAGGTACAGCTGTGGGTAGCTGTCCCCTGAGACTGGGCATCTCTCAATAATATTTTCAGGTGCGCTCTGCCCGAAGACAACGATACAAGTGAGTTGCGCTCCGTTCAAAGACAGAAATACAATTAAGAGATAAAACGTAGTTTTTCCACCCGAAGGCAGATACTTGACTTTGATCTCAGCCCGAAGTCTGGGTAAAGTAGAGTTGTGTCTCTTGTTTCAAGATGAAGTTACCTGATCTTAAATGCTGTCTTCAATGAGGTACGTGATATTTCTCAAATTTAACTTAGTCTGGGAGAGATTATGTGGAGAGAGGGCTTGGGAAATGTAATAGGACAGTTTGAAGGCAAGAGGGACAGATGAAAACCACGCCCAACGTATCCAGCGAGCTTCAGTAAATGAATGGGGGAAAAGATTTAAGAGAGTTAACAAAAAGACAAAGTTTATTAAAAGGACAGGGAATTGTGGAGTGCTATGATCGCCAACGTCCTGAAGGGACATGGCACAAAGAAGAAGAACTTAGTCTGGCACAAGCACAGATAAAATGAAATGAGAGTATAAAGGTTATATTGTGCTAGCTTTTTAATTGGAGATGCTCGCTTGCCTTGAAAATCAGCATTCAAATTCTTATCTTTTTACTGGGTCTTGAATTCCGTATCCATCGCCCTGACGGGGAATACGCAACTACCTCAGCGACTAGGAACGACCAAACAAGTACTTGCTAATTTTAGATTAGCCTTGATCACTGTTACAAGAGACAGGCACCCAATAAGGATCAAAATTTTTTACGCGTTAATCACAGTCTGACTCGCTGGTTAAAAGTTAACGTACAGTTTTTTTCGTTTTTTGTTTTTTTTTTTTTTTAATTGGTATCACCCCGTGCAAAGCAGTAAAACCACTAAGACACAAGGGGTTACAGGATGTGAAAGAATTAGGAACAGAAACATTAATAATGAGCAGGAATAGGAAAGGGTAATCATAAGAAAAGTAGATAGCGATTGACATTGCATTTAGATTTTTGCATTTTAAAGTTGGGTGGAAAGTATGGAGTCTGAAGGGCGTTTCACAAGTGAGAAGTGTGAGAAAAGAGACTGTTAGCATAGAATTTGTGGAGTCACTTACATCATAGCATCAGAAATTAGCCTTGTGTTCACAGTGGTAAAAGCATACTCGATAGGAAATAAAACGTACAGAAATCTCAGGAAAGCATGATAAATTGTATGTTTATTTCATACAATTTATATTTTTGTGTGTATATTTTTTAGCATACAACTGTTTGATGATACATGTAATGAGAGGAAGAAGTTACTTCGTATTATTACACGCCATATCACAGAGAGAAGTCGGACACGTGTTGCCCGTACCAAGGTTCGTGTTGAAGAAATTGAATTTAAAGTCTTTTAGCGGGATGTCCGTATTTCTATCAGGAACAGGTTTTGTTGTATGCTGGGAGTATTTTTATTATTTTTATATTTTTATTTATTTTATACAATGTTTTATGTTATTTTATTTTATGTATAATTTTAATTGTTATTAATATTTTATATTTTATTTTTATTTATTTATAATAATAACGTCCCTACAAACTTACGGCTACATTTAACCAGCTCAACTCAAAACTGATGAGATCTCAACGCCAGTCTAGTACTACGCTTAAATTCATAAATTCTGGGTACCATAGTGAAGAGCTCATTTGAACAATTACCATGAAAGTATTTATAGAAAAGACACAGTGAGGCAACTTTACGGCGATGGGAAAGTGACTGAAGCCGAGATGCCAGATTAGGACCAATAATATTGCTGAGTCTTCTTTGGATTTTATCAAATTAGCCGCCAAAACGTAAATAAACAACGCTGATAAAGTACATTTACTTCGGGAAAAATATTTTTTTGCATCCAAATACTTGAATAACTTTTGATTTTATATCACTTTTCTCTCACCTCAAATACATACAGACACACACACACACACACACACACACACACACACACACACAAGATCTGCCCATTTAGCACGTGCGTTTACTGGAGATTTCGCAACGTGCGTTCAAGCGACAAAGGTGAATATAAACATAGATTTGTAGCAGATACACGCTGACGCACGTTAAGGGTAAATAATGTTTCTACGTTATCATATTCCTAGCTAGTAGTGATCTATCGGGATTTCAATGAAAAAATGTCTTAATTAGAATGACTAATAAATATGCTGGAGATATTGCCCACCAATTTTTCAGTGTAGAACATAACACTATTGTTAGCAAGCCGATCTTGGAAACAAATTACTTAACTAATCTAGTAGGTCTCACTAGGTGCTTTTTTATTGTTTTTTTTTTTTTTACCACGGTTTATCAACCTTTTGTAGGTTATTGAAAATCGAAAGTCATTTTAGGGTTTGTAAGAATAATTCTTTTCTTTTTGCGAGTAAATATTGTATTGAAAGTTTAGTGGAGATAATAATGATGTGCAAATACAAGTTTTAATATTTAACCTATAGCTGGGGAGAGAAGAGGCGGATTCATGCCTTTCGCAAGGGTATCTGCCCATAAGTGAATATCATGAACCTGATTAGAATTAGAACTCGGATCTCCGACTTCCAATTCTCAGCCGTTATCCATTACACCACTCGCATATTCAAACTTACAGCACCTGGTATTCCGAAGGGTTCACCCACCTAGGTACTGAGTAAACTTGGAGTTGCTTATCTTGTTCCAACGCGATATGGCCATAAGCATATGAGAATTGAAAAAGAAAATAAAGCCTTTTAATTTAATTTTTAAAGTATTAGTCAGAATTTATATTTTCTTTTTATCTGTACACATAGGCGTAAGGTGGGAATCTCTGGTGGGCCGACATCCACCTCCACATCTCAAACGAATTTTCAGGGTAAAATCTGGTTATTTACAGGGCAAGTTGGAAAATTTTCCAGAGCAACTTCTTCTGCACCCTCTGTAAATTTTCCTCCCACACGTCTATACCTGTACACCATTAAAGTATCTAAAATCCGATGTGGAAAATTTGTGGAGTTACCATTCCTTGTCCTACCTTTTACTTCTCTTTTAAAATGGCTGAATACAACCAGAAAGAAAAATGATGTCATAGAATTCCATTTTTTTTAAATTCACAAGACGTTTGTTAAGATCTATGGAAAGGTTTCACTTGATGTAAGCACAGAAAGGAGATGGAGCAGTAGAGTTAATAACAATTTCAAAAAGAAAGGAGAAAATGACGTTAGTTACAGGTCCCATAGTGGCAGGCCTGCTGCTGTTGTGAATAAGTCCAAACAGTTGGATACTTGAATTACAGCCGACAGAAGAAGCACTATTGCAAATCTCTACAAAAGAATTCAGATGAGCCTTGATAGTAATTTCAGGATGCATGCCCAGGATCAAAAGTGAAGTGCGACAATTGTGAATGAAGTACACAATGACGAGAACTAGATTTAAATCTGGAAGTTTTTGGGGTTTTTTTTATTTTTTTTTATTTTTGTATTTTAATCTGTACTTTTACTCTTGAATCTGTTGACATTAAAGGAGATCAATAGTTAGAATTGCTTTGAGCAGGTGAATTATATTTTGGCGAAGACCATCCTCCTTCGATCTTTGTTGACTAGCGTTGCAGAATCACAAAATACCAAATAGCAGAAACCACATCACTTGAGGATTGCCAACAGCAGTAACAACTAAAAGGATAGCACACCTAACTGGAAGAGAAAATAATGACAAAATCGAAATCTTGACGTTTCACAGTAATTCAAATAAAACAGTTAGGAAAGGAATTCCCATCAATACTGAAAAAAGCGATAACAGCTTGGGAAGCTTATTTTCCTAAAAACTGTTTTAAAAGAAAGATTTTATAAATTTCAACCGAAGTAGCACTGGCTGCTCGGTAAATGAATGCCGAATGTTTCCTTATAAGGAAATGAATAATATTATCATTACCATTCAGAAGACTTGATGGCAAAGTGAAGAATGAATAGAGACTGTTATCTTCCAGAATTATACTAGTTGACCGTTTTTAATTTTTTGGCATAGTACAATCATTGTAATATGACGAGGGAGGAACGAAAACCAGTCAGCTGTTTCTAATAATTTCTTTTTGAATTGACATCGATCGGAACTGTATTTTCTTTGTTTCATTCTTTGATTTTTAGCCCAATTTCCTCTTCGTTTGCACTGGTTAAATTTTCTACCTGCTGTAAGAACTTCAAAAATTTAAAGTAGCTGAAAAAAAGGTTTAACATTTATTTGTTTTTTGTTGCTGCACAACGTTTTGTATTCGTTTAAAAACATGTCATTGTCTAATTACAACTATATCCAAATTATCAATGCATAACAATTGCGGCCTTATACATAATTGATAACTTGATGCGATTGACTAATTACAATTATATCCAATTTATCAAAGTACAACAATTGTGGCCTTATACCTGATTGATAACTTGACAAGGAAGCATCTAATACCATATAAAATAATTAAGAACTGTTAGATGTGTGCAAAAGTTGGCAGTGATTCTCTTTGTTTAAAACCAGAGACTAAATACATAGTGAAAAAAGTGAATGTTAAAAATAAACGCTACAAACGTTTGCACACACCGAGTATATAATGACTCATACAAACAAATAGTAAGAACCTTTTTTTTTTATCTCCTTCCGTTTGTATACATGCCCATCTATCATGTGTATGCGCGTGTGTTTGCATCCAGTTCCACAAACCCAAGGTCGCAAGTGAAGAGACTTTGACTCTTCCGAGAGTAGAAGTTCACTGAAAGCCACGTATCTATCCTGTATTGGTATCTTTTCCCCATCAGTGATGTTCGTGTCATGAGAGGCTGGCACCTTCTCTACCTGTGGAGCGGGTGGGCGGGCAATGGTAGACACAAAATGTGTTTCTGTATCCGTAAACTTAACATGGCTAAAAAGTTAATATTGGCGACGGCCGGCAGGGGGCGCTTGCAATGTTTCCGCCAGATGCTCACAATATGTCACCGACGAAGTACGTCTGTCTGTTTGTCCGCCGGTAAGTCAAGGAGAAGAATTGTGCTTATGTGTGTTGTGTTTGTGCGTGAATGTTAACTGGAGGAGGAGGAGGAGAGAGAGAGAGAGAACAGGGAAAAGAAAGAAAGACGGAATAAGAGAGGAGAAAGAAAGTACTGAGAGTGAGGGTGGTGAAAATAGGAAGAAAACGAAAGGGATTGAGAGAGTGGGGATAAAAAAATTAAAGAATGAAGTCAGATAATAGAGATGAAGAATGAAATTATATGAGAAAGTGGTGGGCAGGCAGTTACTGGGAGAAAAATTACTCGGATATATATTTTAAGACATTTTTATGTTTATACATTCTTTTTATAAATACAAATATTTAAGTAAACGCTTTGTTTATAATAAACAACATTTACCGGCCTGAATGTCCGAGAAATTTTCATAGAAAATATTCGTTCTCCGACAGGAATCGAACCTGTATACTATACGGAACCGTCATGTAGCCTGATGTGACTTTAACCGATTGGGCCACAGAAGAGCGTTCGGTTAGCAAGTTCGATTTTACTGTCTTTAAACTACAATCTTCCATGATTCTCTCACGTACATTCATATCTGCTCATGGCGTATCCAAATGTAAACAAATAACGTCACACATTATGAAATGGACACAGTCCGACAATTATTTTAAGATATATATATATATATATATATATAGCAGTACCTCTTTTATGCAAGTTTCAATAAAGACGACTGACAAGGTACTGCGAAGTTTTTATACAATTCTACTTTCGGTTATTCTATAAGCTATAAACAAGGAGTTTTTAAATTTTTTAACTGAATATGTAGATTTTTATATATGTGTATCTATAGTGATGGGAATAATTTTTATTTTTCCACAAACAGTCAGCACACTGTAGCCATATTAAATATTGTCGTTTTTCTTTTTTATTATAAATGTTTACATTATTTTTAACCTTTTTCTACATGTTAATGAGGCTATTATAGTCGTATTTTCTACGAGTATATTGCGAACGGAGTTTGGTACGTTTCCGTGTGTGTTTAGATAGGGGAGCTATGGTTAGAGAGATTTAACGTGAGTCTTCTTGATAAGCATGTAGTGGTATATCCAATACAACTATTCATGTATTTGGTTTGATCAGTAATGCTGTTTCTTAAGGGACATGTAACTTCATATCTATCTATCTATCTATCTATCTATCTATCTATCTATCTCGGGGTACTCTGAAAGTAATGCTTCCTCTTTATGACCTTTCACTCAGACCTCTTTATATATATATATATATATATATATATATATATATATATATATATATATATATATATATATATATATATATGTGTGTGTGTGTGTGTGTTCTTCCTTTCATGTGTGTTGTATCCTTAAAGAGGTGGTAATCGAGTGAAAGGAACAGCAACATGTGCGTAGATGAAAGAAAGAGAGGTTTATTGTAAAAGAGAATACACTACTGAAAGACAGGGATTCGGTTAGCAGGCTAGTAATTCTCGAAGCAAGTCCCAGGTATATCCTGTGCACACTATAAATATATCTACTGATATAGTCAGTCCACGATAGGTTATAGGGAGAGTGGGACATTCCATTCCAACAATGTGTCACGTGACTTCGTAACGAGTGCGAATACGGTTCTCCACAACTTTGTCTTTTGTTACCCTATGTAACTTTCCTATAAATATTTTTATCGAAATTGTTTTAATGAACTTTCCTCTATGGTACCTGGACTTTATGAATTTAAGTGTTATACTAGATTGGCGGCAAGGTTTCGTCATTTTACAGTTGAAATCGCCAGATGCAGCTGTAAAATTTGTTCTCTCGCACATTTCTTTTATGTAACTTTCTTTCCCCTTCTTGCTTCTCAGTCAACATGCAATATCAAACTTCATCTTAAATCTTGTTTTATATTGCTTCTCATATTCTCTCACACTCAGTAACCACTTGCGTCTTAGTGGTTTTATTCCCTTACTTGGGGTGAAATGATTAATAAAATCTTTACTAACCCCCTTTGAGCTTGTTCTATAATCCATAAGTGAAATAAAAGTGTGCTCATATATCAAACCCACCTTGTTTAACAATGGGAAAATCTGAAAGTCGCTCATCCGAATTCCAGTAGTGCCCAACAACACGGGAAGGTTCGGAATAAACGCTCCTAGTAGTATTTAAAAAAAAAAAACACACACACACACGCACAAATAATATATACCACGCAGTCAAAACACGTATAGAAACTAACAACATCAAAATAAAATAAAAATGGCTAAGGAACTGACCAAAAACGTTGGGGACAATGGAGGATATTGACATTTTTTGTATTCCCTCCCTCACACCAAACGGGAAAATGTAAGAGCGCTGGAAGAATAAAATATATATATATATATATAAATATATATATATATATATATATATATATATATATTCCAGTCGAATCCATTATATTCACTTAAGTACTAATACCCTTGGGAAAGGTATGAATCCTCTACTTCTCCCTCCAACTATGGGTAAATAGCAGGACAGACTGGGTTCTATAGCCTTGGATGGCAAGTGGTCTAGGAGAAGGACAACTCTGAATTCTAAAGCTGCGGAGAGTCGTTGGGGGACCTTGTGGCACGTAGTGCACCAGGTCTCTGTATTCGGCTCTTTAACAAGTGTGGATGGCCTTGCACGAAACCTTCACCACTATAATCAATTCTCAAGTGCTGTTGTCGGACTGTCGGTTTTCTGGGAATTGATCTGCTTGACCCTCAACGTTGAATTCGACGGGAGATGATATATATATATATATATATTAGGCTTGTCCCTGGTAACGCTAAAAAAAGTGATATACCCTGGAGAAAAAGGTCCCCAAATTGCTAAAAAAATTTTAACGTGTAAATGTTTATGTTAGAATTAAAGAGGGAAGACCAAAAAAATTTTTGACCTAAAAAAAAAAACCAAGATTTTCAACCTAAATTTAAAATATGCTGCAAATGAAAAAAAAAATTTTTTAAATAATTAAAAAATACCTTGGTCTTCCCTCTTTAATTTTAACATAATTATTTACACATTAAAATTTTTTTTTTTTTTATCAATTTGGGGGACCTTTTTCTCCAGGGTATACCACTTTTTTAGCGTTACCTGGGACAAGCCTAATATATATATATACATACATACATGTATGTATATATATATTAGTGGTATACCCTGGAGAAAAAGGTCCCCAAATTGATAAAAAAAAATTTTAATGTGTAAATAATTATGTTAAAATTAAAGAGGGAAGACCAAGGTATTTTTTAATTATTTAAAAATTTTTTTTTTCATTTGCAGCATATTTTAAATTTAGGTTGAAAATCTTGGCTTTTTTTTTTAGGTCAAAAATTTTTTTGGTCTTCCCTCTTTAATTCTAACATAAACATTTACACGTTAAAATTTTTTTAGCAATTTGGGGACCTTTTTCTCCAGGGTATACCACTTTTTTAGCGTTACCTGGGACAAGCCTAATATATATATACATACATACATATATATATATATATATATATATATATATATATATATATATGCGAACTCTCTTATGTATTTCTTATATATCTCCTTAAGCATATGTATGTGTGTATGAGAAAAAGGAAGGATGAAAGGAATAACATTGCACCATTTGCAAGCCACATCTTCAAAGCTTTTTTTTTTCTACATTTTATTTGTCAATGGCGTCCATGTTATTTATAAATGACCGAAACAACGGACCATGTAAGAATTATGGAGATTCGGGTAATAATATTTCCGCGGGTTTTATTGATAGAAGTTTTCTCTGCTGCCAACGAAAGAGGACGGCCCCGCGTCGATGGCATCTTGCTAACAAGGCTTTAAAAGTCAGTAATGGTAGGGCAAAACCATCAGACCTCCACCCCACAGAAAAAAAAAAACACATAAAAAAAATGTGACTGTAAGACGTTAGTGCAAAAAAAAAAAAAAAAAAAGAAAAAAAAGAGTATTAGTTATCGGTACAAGGCATCTTAATATAAGAACGACCGTATGTTTATAGTGTTTTTGTGCCGTCAGTAAATAGACAATTATCGTAACTTTTTTTATGTCATTAGCGTGAAATCTATGGAGAAGGGTGTAACCATATCCTGGATGAAGTGCTGTAAAAATATCTAAGCCGAAAGACAAATGGTTAATGCTAATCTTAAATTCCTAACGAGGTTGTCGTTGACAGACTACTTACATTCGATGGCTTTATAGAAATTGTCTACACACTTTCAAGCGGTGATGATATGAATGTCCTTTAAACTCTACTGAAACACGTGTACCCTCTAAATATAACGTTTATGTACAGAGATCCCCTAGATTTCTTTGTTGAATAGAGGGCCACAGCTCTACGGCGCTGAACAACCCCCAAGTATCGACAAATAATAATAATTATTAGTTTTTTATTTAAAGGTAGAAATTCTTTCTTTTTTTTTTTTGTATTATTGCTTCTCGATGAGATTCATTTTAACTTTGTGTTTTTTTTTTTATTCCTTTTTCAATTTCTATTTGTCTTATACTAGATGCGTTTTTTCGAATAATAATAATACAGTGTAACCCGGATGTAAGAGAGTTGTTAGGACCGGAGAAAAAGTCTCTTATATCCGGGTTTCTCTTATATCTGGGTTTCTGTTATATCCGGGGTTGGTCTATTTTATATACATTAACACAGGCTCTAATTTGGGACCAGAGAAAATCTCTCTTATATCCGGGTTTCTCTTATATCCGAGTTACACTGTAACTAGTTTTAACCCGTGAAAATTTCACGGTTTTCCTATTTGAATTTTTTGATCAATCTTAATCATTCATTAACTTAAGAATTAAGCTCATGTAGAGTTCTACGACAATAAAATATCCAAACAAATTCCCCTATCGTATCGTTACATATTTGAGCCTGATAACTTTAACAAAAAATATTACAATAAAAATCATAAATATAAATATGAATCCTGGTCGTTATCTTAAGAAGTAAGGGGGTACAAATGAAAAGATTTTAAGTTGACATCATTTTTCATTTCACTGTAACAACTGTTAAAACTTCTATTTTCCCTTCTTTCTTCCTTTCATTTTCTCACTGAAACCTCTTTCCACACGATCAAAAACTTCTATCTATCTATCTATCTATCTATCAGTGAAAGCAAATAGCGTCTTTCTACCTGTTTCCGGGCGATCAAAATGGAATAGTCTATTATTTACGAGGTATTAGCAAAATATAACGGCCGTACTAAGGAAATGGGAATAACAATAATAATAATAACAACTATTTAAGCGGACTGTTCTACCCGACTTGAAATTATTTCTGACAGGACACAAGGTTATGAATATATAAGGCCATAGCCACACCACGCTAGGCAGTGATGCTGTGGTTTCAGTAGCAAGTAGGATTTTTGGATAGAGTTGCCAGCCGATTTTGAATTCAGAGCTATCCTTCATTTTGATTGGTGGGCAACCCAACCTTGTTTGCCTTTCTATCAATCTACAGATGGGTGAGAAGAAGAAATGTTTTCATAATTTTCCCAAGAGGACTTTGGTGAAAGCAAAGGCAGCGGCTTCGACTGGAATTTAAACATGGCATCCGTTCCATGCCTATGACCACCAGCCGCACACCGACAGACTTTCAGAGGCTGAATTTAATTCGCTAGCTAAAAGCAGTAACGTTAAAATAATTTACTGAATATATATTTTTTTCCGATAATGATCTGTAGGTATTTCTGCCTGGCCTCCCTTTACAAGGTTATGTGCTGCTTTTATTAAAACCTATCAGCATATGGCTGTGATGCATGTGCTCAGTATACCATTATCAGAGTTATTATCATGTTTGGGCACAACTTAAATAGACTGGTCCACTCGTAAATAATCGGGAAAATCCCTTCCCATTACTTGCTTCCCCGATGACTATAATCTTCAAATGTAATGTTAATCTGACACACTGATCTTGTTCCTCGTCCATCTCTGTATCATTTCCTCAAACACGCCTCTTTACTCTTGATCCCAATCCTCTGTAACCCCTTGCGTGCTAGTGGCATTCCCGCCTTGCTTGGGGTGAATTGCCTTAAAAAAACAAAAAACAAAAAAAAAAGTTTTTGCGTGGAGGGGAATTTTTCGGAAGCATATGCACAAATATTGGGGGTAATTAAGTATAATAAATGATGTATAAATATATATATGTGCTTTTATTAATCTAATTTTTAAATTAAAAATATATATGTCCAACTTTTAAAAGATATTTTTTTAAATGTCTTTTCGTACACATAACAGTCAAGTCTAATAACTCTGGACAAATGTGAGATCAGGCCTCAAATGGAGCACTTTTGTCATATTTGGGTGAAAGCTGTTCAATCCTCACTTTCCAGTCTCGAGAGAGTTCAAAAGCATCTCCGAGTCCTTGTGGGTGATAAATTATTCCCACCCTCCAATCTCTCTGTCACAAGCTGGATGTGGTAAGCCTCTCACTGTTCTATCGCTACTTTCATGAAAAGTTCTCGGACAAACTACATTCCTTGGTTCCGCCAAGTCTAACCTTCACGGCTAGAACCCACCATGCCACTTACATAGTAGCAAATCACCCACATTCCCTCCGTATTCCATTGGCGGGAAAAAGGTTCCACTCGAATAGCTTCTTTCCGCGAACCACTGCCCTGTGGAATAGATTCGCAAAAGGATGTCTCCTCCGATCATTACAATTTTAAACTGTTCAAATCTAGTGTTAACCGTTATCTTCCACTCCTATCTGTATAAACTGCCTCTTATCTGCCTTCTATCTCGACTGGCCTCCGGGCCTTATACAGGGTGAACCTTCTGCAAAAAGAATGTCAAGGATCTAGTTTACACTGTATCAATAGTATGAAAATGACTCCGATTCTAAAATGATGAAAGAATATCAATATTTTTCGATTCTAAGAAATTTCGCGCCTTGATAAAGGTCAAAGAAATGCTAATCAATGAAAAATATATTTTTTAATTTCCATTTCTTACGAGTGGATTAGTTTAATTAACATTTATCGCTCTGTATGTGACTTCATTTGCTGCACATAAAGTTTATCCTGCCACTGAAGGTGACTCAGATCCCTGAACAATAGTGTGTTTGAATTTCATAGAAGTGTTGTCATATCCTGCTATGGCAACAGAAAACAACTTTGAGTTAAATTAACAATAAGGATACAGCAATTGAGAAGTCTTGAAAAGAATGCCGTGGAAAGGGAAGTGATAATATTAGTGCTGAAAGTTAAAGAGGAATATAGAATTGGGCAAAGAACACCGTATTATGCAGGAATTTTTTCCATATTTCATGAATTTTAACATCGTGTATAATATAATTGAAGTATGTGTTTTATACAAACTAAAACTTATTTTTTTTTAAATGTTTATAGTTTATCTTGTTTTTTGTTCAAATTCTGTAGTCATCTTTATTCACTAATAACATTTTAAAATTTGTTTCGGATATAATTTTCATACACAATCTATCCTTCATCATACTTAATTTTTCAATACTCCATATTCTTATTAATTAGCTATAGAATATGAATATAATTTGGTTTAATCAACGTTAATATGAAACTTCTGATAACAACTATAATTTTGTTTTGTAACAGCAAAATTAGAAAAACCTGATCATTTTCTAAATCTACAAAGAGGATTGTGTTATGTATTAACAAAATATCTCTGTAATATTAACCTTTATCACTCCGTATATGATTACATTTGTTGTATAAAAAGTTGATCCTGCCACTGAAGATGACTCTGATTCCTGAACAAAAGTGTTTGAGTTTCATAGTTGTGTTGCCATATCCTGCTATGGCAACAGAAAACAACTTTAAATTAACAATAAGGATACTTCAGTTGAGAAGCCTTGAAAAAGAATGCAGTGGAAAGGAAAGTAATATTAATAATGGTTAAAGAGGAATATAGTATTGGGAAAAGGACATCGTATTTTGTAGCAACTGTTTCCATGTTTCATGAATTTATTTTAGCTTCAAGGAATCTGTTATATTCATCGTTATCTCTTGTCAAACACACCTTACATTCCACACAAAGGCATATCAGTTGTGTGTCATATTACCTTCACCCAAGTCTGAACAGAAATCTTTTTAAAACTCAGTCAAACATGCAAGACTACATGCATATTTGATAGGCCATATTATTTGTAACTTTTATCACTGTGTACAAAATATTTATCCTGTCACTGAAGGTGATTCTGAACCCTGAACAATAGTGTTTGAATTTCATAGAAGTGTTGTCATATCCTGCTATGGCCACACAAAACAACTTTGAGTTAAATTAACAATAAGGATACAGCAATTGCGAAACCTTAAAAAAGAATGCATGGGAAAGGGAAGTAATATTAATAATGTAGAGTACTAAAGGTGACCATGATTTGTATATTGGGTTTTTTATATTTGAACTCCAGCGTCACTTTGTTGGCGTTCTGGTTTCTCGCTTAATTATAATTATAATGAAGAAATACAAAAGATTGTATTAATGGTTACTACTCACATGATTAGAAAAATCCTTTGATCCAATATTCTCAATGATCCCTCTAAAAAGCTTAACTCACCTTAGATCTCAAGTGAAATAATTAGTTAATCAATAGAACTAATAATAATATTATAGTGGAATAATATTGTAGTCTTTAGTTCCCTGCCATAAACTACTCGCAATGATGAGCAAATCGTTACTCCTATGGATCGAGTTAGATTTTTGCTGAATGTCCTAAATATGTGATTTTGTGTGTGACTAAATGCAAAACGGTGACTTTCTAGAAGATATTACATTCATTATCCACTAAATAGAGATTATCTTTCCTCCTACCTTTCTCATGTCCGAACCGATCGTAGAGGAGACATGAGTGACGAAGATGAAGCCAGCTGCCGTCAACCAGATCTGTTTTTTGCCTCACGAAACAGCGTCGGAACGTCCATTCTGGTCCATTATTTGATGTTGTCCATCCAGCTTCTGGGCTGACTCCCCCTACATCTACCCACTTCCAAGTCACCTTAAAGGAGCGTCTTGGGTAGAGTATTGTGGTCTATGATATGCCCAAGCCACAACAGCTTTCTCCTCTTTACTGTTGCCAAGAGGGGCTCCTGGGGCCCTGCTAGTTGTGTTACTTGCCCTGTACAAAGTCATTTGTCTTGTGTTCTCTTCAGGTGATCTCGAGAAGGCGTGTAAAACATTTCATTTCAAATGTTTGGTCTCTCTTGGTGATTTCTGCTATCAGAGTCCAGCTTTTACATCCATAGAACAGTATGGACAGCTCGAGGGACTTGTAGAGCTTCATCTTGGTTGGACAGTTGATGCTTTTTGCTCTTCCAAATCTTACTGAGATTTGCCATTGCTGATGTTGCTATAGACAGTCTGGTCTTGATCTTTATTGTAGAGCGTCCGTCTTTGGTGAGGGTAACGCCAAGATATTTAAAGGCGTTCACTTCTTCCAGTTGTTTATGAAGATCAGGGTTCTGATACTGGTTTTTGCTTTTGACCAGGACTTTCAGTGCTCACTTCTATTCCATACGCTCCTGCTCTGTTTGTAAATCTAGTGAGCCTCTGCAGCCAGACAAGTCAATGTCAATAGACATTCACGTTGCTTTAAATAAGTGGTTCGAGCTGCTTTCCCCTTGGTTCTATGGGCCACATTTCTAGCGCTTCTACCAACACTCATACGAAATCGGATTTTTCTTAGTATTAATTATAAGGCAAATTCAAAAGACGATTTAGTCTATCACTGAAAATATATGCATTTCGGCTTTTCTTAGATGCCATTAGATAAGGTGCCGCCAGACGACGTGGGTCTGTAACTACACCTGCAAAACCTGGCTTACGGCCACATCACGTTGAAACACCGGTTACCGTACGATCACCGAATTTAAACAACGTCGAGCCTGGTTAGTATCTAGAAGAGTGATTGCTTGGGAATACCAGGTGCCGTAAGCTTGGATGTGCGGGTGGTGTAATGGATAATGGCTCGGAATTGTTAATCAGAGAGCCATTTCCTTTGGGTTTGTTGTATTCACAAGCGTAAATACTTGGGAAAAGTACAAATCCACCTCTGCTCCCCCAGATATGGTTAACTAGTATACTTGTATCATTAAATAATTATTTCTAAAACCAAAATTCAAACAATCTAAAAATATTTATGGTTTTAAGTAACCGTAAAAACAAATCTATCTATCTATCTATCTATCTATCTATCTATCTATCTATCTATCTATCTATCTATCTATCTATCTATCTATCTATCTATCATAGCTGGCCACTCGTATTCGAGAATACCCGTGTACTAGGGCGGCTAACTAATCCCTATTGCAGACGCACGCTCAGGCACACTTGTGTTTGCTCAACACCCACAGAGTCAACTTGTGGTTTATACTGTAACTATATTGAGCAAACTTTTAGTTACAGTTTCTGGGAGAGAGCGTGTTATCTAGCGTGATCAACAATTTGAATAAGGCCAGCACGCTCAAGCCCTCGGCCACGATGACTTGTGGCTTCGTATTAGCACAGCTATCAACGACCGATAAGAGTTCCGTCTACCCAATTTCACTCAGAAGGCTTGGGTCAACTCGTGGTATGGTTTTCGGGCACTTTCTAAAGATGCCGCACACTGGGATTGACCTTGATCCAGTCCGATAACATCAGGAAGTCTCCATCCTGACAAATCGACCATGTTGAGAATCGATCCCGTGTCTCATGGTCAGAAAACGAACGTTCTAACCATATCTATACATACATACATACATACATACATACATACAGAAAGACGTCGGCTTTCATATGTACGATTTATAATATTTAGTTAAACTAATTATTTTCTTAGTATCACTTTTTGTATCAGTTAACCTATTGGAGTTTTGTTTTTTTCTGTACATATATGTATGCGAGATACAATCCCAAATCCTAAAGTTCAGGAAAAGTAATCGAAAAATAATTATGGCAAAGTTTAACAAATATGCCAGAAAACAAAAAATAGTTTGTTAAAATTATGACAGTTCTCTTGACGCCGCTAATACCCTATCCTTCCTTGTCAATTCTTATTGCTTTAAAAATGTATTGACGCAGAGGAGATATGCTCTCAACCTATTTCAGTTAATTTATGTGGCTGGAGAAATTGAAAGAAATGTTTTTTTTTAATTATAATTACAGTTACTCATCCTTTATTTATTTATTTTTTATTCTATAATTCATAAACGTTTTTATAAATTCATGAATAAAAAATTGTTTTCATATTTCTTTCTTTATAATATGTTGAATAATATTGTATTATACCGAATGCCCCACAAAAAAAAAAATAAATAAATAAAAAAATCGGAGAATTTGGCGCAATTTAATTGTTGGAATTTTTGTTACAGTTTTTTGAAACAAAAGCAAAGGATAGAAATTTAGTTGCTTAAAATAGAACATAAAACACAAATGTTCGATGTCGTGTTTACATTAAAGAACTCTGACAAAATTTCTTGGCATTTTTCCGTCCCCACGTTGGATGTTCTTTCGTAAAAAGAACAATCACTTCGTGTTGAAAATTTAATAACTTCGATATACTAGAACAGATGGCTAAAAAAAATGACCGTATTTTCCGCACTATAGTCCGCAGCTGTATATATAACCCGCACTCCTATAAATTCAACTATCTGAACATAACTGGCTTGGCGCTGGCGACCTGTTTTTGTGAAGCTATGTTCCCCTAACTCTAACCCCGGCCACTCAAGGTTGAAAGATACAATTCATATATAACCCACACCGTTACATAACCCTCACCCTACACATTTCGAGAAATCCGGAAAATACGGTAAATGTTAGTTAATTTCTTTAGCTCATTCATATAGGAAAATATATAGTTAATTATTTTATGTTAGATAATTTTTTTCTAAATTTAAAATTTCCTGTTATTTATTTATTTATTTATTTATGTGGGGGTATCCACTAGTTGGTTCGCATAGTTTTTATAATGTGGTAAATATTAAATTATACTTGTAAATAAACAATCTAATAATGTTTAACATTTTTGTTGTGAAATCTCTAGAAAAAGGAAAAATACATAAATCCATTTTCATATGTTTTGGTTTTATTAAAATTCTATAAAAATCGCCGAGTAAGTAAAGCTGTGTCACGAGAAAAAAAAACATCCTTTTGACACGCAGTTTTAATTTCTTCTTTTTTTTTTCATTTGTTCATTTATTAAAGTTTGCCAAATATTACTTGCTCTGACATCTACTTTCGGTGGAAGTTAAATCCTAGGTTACTGCTCACGAATGTTTGCTTAAAAAATTCCGTATTTGTTCACCCGCCCTCATAAAATTTAATAAATCTTTAAGACATTGTATACAGTGTAACCCGGATATAAGAGAGTTGTCGGGACCGGAGAAGAAGTCTCTTATATCCGGGTTTCTCTTATAACCGGGTTTGGTCTAATTTATATACATTAACACAGGCTCTAATTTGGGACCAGAAAAAATCTCTCTTATATCCGGGTTTCTCTGTATAACATTTTAAAATTAATCATTCCCTATCAAGCATTTGCAAGTTAAATTATTTTTGTCGTGACATCTTGATATGTTTCAGAACCTAATTATTCCTTTGACAACAAATTATTTATCAATAAAAGTAAAAGAAATCTTTCGACAGATTCGTATATAATAAATTGGAATTTTTTTTAAATACTATGTTACAATTTTGCTTGCTTGTATGTATGCTTGTTAACCCTTTCTACCTACGTATAGTTTAGGCATGAACCCCAGTTCGTCTAAATTAGAATCAAACATTCTTCCATAAAAATATTAAATCAGAAGGGACGGACAGAGGCAAATGGAGAGAAGCAGTGGAAAGAATGTGTGAAGGAGGAAGAGTAGTGGGGAAGAAAGTTCGAGAACATCGAAAAGAAAACCAGATGAGAGAGAGAGAGAGAGAGAGAGAGAAAGATACAAAGAAAAACCTAACAGAACTTTATTTTATTCATACATTTTTGAATTGACTGCGCTAGAGAAAATGAAAACAAAAAGGAAACTTCGCACCAGACAGTTGAAATTTCTAGGGCGCATAATGAGAAAAGAAGGCTTGAAAAATTTGATACTCACAAAACAGATTGAAGGCAAGAGGGACCGAGGAAAGCAACGAGGAAAACTACCAAACGGTCTTGTGTTGGCAGAACAGTGAGTAAGAGAGATAAAAAAAAAGACAAACTTTACTAATAACTACAAGAGATAGGTGATCACGGCTCTCCACAATTTCCTGAGTCCTGACGGGATACGACACATCGAAGAACGAGAATTGTGTAGAAAACAATTTTTAAAGCGTATATCCAGAAAAGTCCTTCGGCAAACTTATAAAATTTGCTTCAGTCAAGCGCATTAAACAATCCATATACACAATCAAAGTGTTTCTTATCTGAAACTTATTTGGTCTGTGAGTTATCTCCCTTGCAGTCGTAAAACCAGGTGTCAGTATCTTTGGCGGACTTTTTCACGATGTTTACAAATCCAGGAGATGAAAGGATTGTATCTGTGAAAGAACAGAGTACAACAATTATAATGAAAAATAAATATGTTTTTGACGACATGGATAAAGCCGTGTAAAAATAACTAAAGAGAGGTAGAAAGAAAGAAACAAATAGAAGATTGGTGGGAGCAATAAAAGGAATCCTTTTTTTTTTTTTTTCCTGGCATTGTTTTGCCAGATAAGCTGCCGCGTGTTGACGTAAAACAGCCAAAATTTCCATACAGCTGCAATGGGGCCAACTGAAACGTGGGTGGTGGAAGCCAATGAAAAATAGCTTTTGCGTGCCTTTTGCATAATTACTGATTCTCTTATGACAGGTTGCAGAACAAGGATAAGATTGTGTCTTTTCTTGCAAAAGGGTGGCGGGATGCTAAATGTGCAAGAACATTGTCTGAAAGTTTCGTCTCTTCGAAAATCTTGCTACAACACGTACTTTTGATATTTTTCCTCACGCAGAACATCCTATGGTAACGTGAGATTTCGACTCTGTATCCACAGAGTGGTTTTTCATCTATTATAAAATCTAAGATGAAATGTTTCAGTATTATTGCTCTCCTAGCATAGTATTCTTTTATGTATCATACCCTTTTAGGACTAGACGCTTCGGTATTATTGCCCTCCCAAGATAGTATTCTTTTGTGTCGTATCCTTTTAGGACTATCAATTCGTTATTATGCTCTCCTAGCACAATATTCGTTTATGTGTCGTATCTTATTACGACTAAACGGTTCGGTATTATTGCTCTCTTTGCATAGTATTCGTTTATGTGTCATCGATGAACTTTATTAGAGCAGGACTTTTAGCAATCTATCTTTATTATCTCCAAAAAATTATTAAAATCTAAACATTTAAATAATCTGACAAAGGTTGACAAGCCGTAAAACAAGTCAGTTAATCTATAAACAGAAGCTGATATAGTCAGCTAAATCGAACAAGAAGTTATGTTTCGGCTCGTAGCTTGTTATGTAATAGCAAACACCATGAACAATGTAAAAGCGGATGCTGTGTTTCAAACAGGATTGGAAGGGTATTATGAACTGTGATCTCATTCCGCAAATTTAGACATTGAATTTAACAAGTACTCATTCCAGTTGGACTGATTAAAGGCAGCAATCGATTAAAATATCGGAAAAGTGTCGTCTTCCATCAAGACAACACAAGACATCACAGCTCTTTACAAAACCAGTAAAAATTAGCACAGCTTGACTGAAATATCCTACCACACGAGCCGTACAGCCCCACCCCCGATCCTGCACCTTCAGATTACCACTTCGTTCAATTCCTACAAAATTTCTTAAGAAGAATAATTCTCTAGAAGTCTGTAAAATAAACACTTATACCTGTTCATCCCGCAGAAATTTCTAGGAGGATAGAACGATGACGCTGCCTCAAAGATGGCGAAAAGTAGTGGAACAAAATATAAGATATGTGGTTGAATAAATCTGTGTATAAATATCTAAATATTGCCTTTGAATTTATCTTTAAAACGATACGAGCTATTGTTCCCACCCAATAATAATAATAATAGCTGGCCGCTTGTATTCGAGGTTACCCGTCTACTAGAACGGCTAGGCAATCACTATCGCAGACGCTCGCTGAGGCACATTTCTGTTTTGCTCAACACCCACAGAGCCCACCTATGGTTTATACTGCAACTATGCTGGGCAGACTTTTAGTTGCCGTTTCTGTGAGAGAGTGTGTTATCTAGCGTGATCAACAGTGTGAACAAGGCCACGCTCAAGCCCTCGGCCACAATGATTTGTGGCTTTGTGTTAGCACGGCTGCCGATGGCCCTCAAGAGTTCCGTATACTCAATTTCACTCACAAGTATTGGGTCAACCCGTGGCGTGGTTTTCATGCACTTTCCAAAGGTGCCACACGCTGACATCGACCACAATCCATTCCGATAACATCAGGAAGTCTCCTTCCTGGCAAATCGACCATGTTGAGATTCGATCCCGGCTCTCATGGTCAGAACGTTCTAACCACTCAGCCACGCGCTCATATTCCCAATATATACATACATACATAGAGTGTATAAAAAATCTGTACACATTTTTACTGTACCTCACCTATTTAGACTTTTTCTTTTGGGGATACAAAGTCAGCAACAATCGCAGAAATGAACATTTCCATAGAGCAAGAATGCAGCCAAACACCTATCGAAATGTTGATTGCTGTTTGCAATTCCATTGCTTCGTGTTGTCGGTAATGTCTGTATCATAATGGACATCAATTTGAAAACATGCGATGACAATCTTAAGAGCATGCATTTATAATAATTCTTTTTTTTCATGTACATTATTTAAATTATATATAGTTGATTCTACTTGCTTGAATAATTTCTTGAGAAAGTTTCAAAATGTGTATACACTTTTTGACACACACACTGACACACACACACACACACACACACACACACATATATATATATATATATATATATATATATATATATATATATATATATATATATACGTAGCAATCCCTCTATTATACAAATTTCATTAAAGACGACTGAAGAGGTACTGTGATTAAGCTTTTTGTTTATTTTTTTCGTGTGCTCGTATAAGTGTATAAAGACTAATAAGTGTGTAAAGACTGTTCAAAAGTTCTGTATATCCGGGCGCTTTCGGCTATTCTTTTAGCCATTATCAAGGTTGATTTGTATTTTTTATTTTTAACTGAATGTATTGATATTTTATGTATGCATCTAGAGTTATAGGAATATTTTATTTTCCAAATACGGTCAGCACATTGTGGCCGTATTCAGAGTTCATGTTATTGAGTGTTAGCTTTTTTCTTTTTTTATTATTAATGCTTTCATTATTTTATTTTATTTATTTTTTTTTGTAGATGAGGCTATTATACTTGCATTTTCTACAAGTATCTTGTGGATGGAGTTTTTAGGTTTCCATGTGTGTTTAAATGATTTTTAATTGAGCTATGGCCAGAGAAGTGTAACGCGAGCCTTCTTGATAGGCATGTTGTGTTATGTCCAATATAATTATTCACAAATGTATTTTGATCAGAAATGCAGTTCCTTAAGGAGAATCTAATTCATAAATAATATTGGTTCTCTGTAATTTAGATATTACAGGTGAGTTGTTGTTGATGTAAGGTTACCTGTTTTAATTTTTTTATGGTAGATAATTTAATTTTCTTGTTCCGGTCAACGGGGGTTGGTTATTCCTTTACAATATTTCTAAGAGAAAATTCATGCTGGTCATAATTAATGTGTATGGGGTTTTATAGAAAATGATGTTAATGTTATTATCTTTATGTTCAGTATTGCTATTAGCTACTTTAAAAATAAATAGTCTAATCCGTTGATCGATGATGTAGTTCAGAAAACCATTGTTAACTAACGTCTGTTTCACATTATTGAGTTCTTTAAGGGTATATATATATATATATATATATATATGCGTGCATATGTCGATTAATTCGTTTCTGGTTCGCAATACAAAAAGCGTTTTTTTTTTATTAGCGAAGATGACAGTTTATTGTAAACTCGACCAGCATAAACATCCTTCCCGTACCTGCTTACGAGTAGCCCGCTGTGAGAGATACCTCAAGCACGTCGCTCTTACGTTAGATATCGTGCAATGCTTAGTGTTTGTGAAGTGCCTATCATCACCCGATGTCACCTATAGCCCCAAAACTAGTGTTCCTTGTTAGTGGCTATCACTTTGAGGCCCCTTTTGTATCGGGTTCGTTCATGGTTCGTCGGTTTTGCTGATTTATGTCAATTTCCCCTTTTAGTAACAAACGTTTGACACGCTTGACTGGTGCCCTATGCTCACGAAACTCATACTTACATCTTGAATTAATGACAACAATTGTGAATACGGAAAAGAAAGTCTGCCAGACTGTAGACTTACGGTCTTTATGCCTAAATCTTAAGTTTGCGCATTATACACGATAACTATATATCAACTTTTCACCGGTCCTGTGAGTCTTCATATACGAGACGATATGACTGATAATCCTAATAAATTAATGTATAACAAATTCTTTAACACATTACTACTTTTTTTTTAATTGTTCACATAGGTTAGGCCTACATAAACTACGGTCTTCTGGCCGCACACAATCCGTGAAACTTGTGTGTGGCGTGGATGTACGATTGGTGTAATAGATAGCGGCTCAGAATTAAAAATTGGAGAGCAGAGTTCGTGTTGCTGTCGAGTTTGTTACATTTACTTACGTGCAAATGCCCTTGTATAAATCCATTTGTTCTCTCTATGGATTAAATGGTAGGACTTGGATTTTGAAAAATCATAGTTATTTCCAAAAAAATGTTAATGCAATATTCACTCACAAAATAAAGAAATTGTTCTTACAATTAGTGTATTTGCGCGGCGAATTTTCTGCGAGTAATGTTGCCCTTCACATTTTTTTTTTTTTGATTGTGGAGTGCTGACAATAGATATTAAGCATATTTTAGTCTCTTTGGTTGGTGTCAGTGTTAAAAAAAAGAGACAGTTTCATCTATGTTGACAGTGTAGTATATGTCGCCTTTGCCGTTTTCGATGTCATGGAGTTATCGTGTCTTTCTTCCTCAAAATGATGTAATGTTTACACTTGTTGACATCTAACTTTAGTTTTTATAGTTTTGTTTCTTTTAGTGTAAACTTAGTTTCCCCTAAAACTTGTTGCATTTTTTTATGAGAACATATCCGTTCTTTCACTGTAAATCTTACTTATTATAAAACGCAGATTGTGTGTGTGTTTCAACAAAACTTCACAGAACTACGTAAAATTACCTTGCGGTGGTTCTGACAGCGCCAAAAATTGAAAAAACACAATTGTTTTTGCACGAAATCAATTTGAAAACACGATTAAGAGGCATTAATGAAAGGGGGACAACTCATATCGAGTTATACTTAATATCGAGTTATCGAGTTATACTTATTATAAAGCCCAGGTTGGTTGTGTGTGTGTGTGTGTGTGTGTTCGTTTATATATGGGATCGGATTTCCTACATTTTTCAACCGATTTCAACAAAGCTTCACTTTTTTTTTGGCAGGTAATGTTTCTTATTATCTTGCACACTTTTTTCTTTATTTTTACATTCAGAATGCTTTAAAAATTCCATTTACAAGACAATTGTTATAATAAAATTCTATTCAATCGGTAGACTCATAACGATTGAAAACAATGTTTTTGTTTGAGTTTGGGTTTGACCAATTCGTAAGAAAAAGAAAACAAACAAACAAAAAAAAAACTAATTAAGACATGCGTGTCCATCAACCTTAAACAATAATCTTTGTCAATTTTATTTTTCAGTCGTTATGATGGTCGATACTTGATCTATCTCTTACTGTTACATCCCCGGGCAACGCCGGTCTCTACTGGTAGTCCTTAATAGAAATAGAACCCGTTTCAGTTTGAAGACAAGTTACAATAACCTGCACATACACCCCCACCCCACACATATTTACTGGTGCTCCAAACATATGGGATGATGCCGAGTGCTGAATCACGATTTCTTAAGTGACCGGAAAAACCTTTACTGTTACATCCCCGGGCAACGCCGGGCTCTACTGCTAGTAATATATAAACTTTGTCCAGGGTATTTTTGAATGTCCAGGGTATTTTTGAATGACTTTCTCACGATTGTTTCAGAGACGCTTTTGTTACATGTTGTTACAGAAAAATAACCACTGGAATGTGTGCTTGCTTATGATTTTGTTTATCTTAGTCTTGGCATTTGTAAATAAGTGCTAGGTTCAATAACTGTAAAAAGTTA